ATCAAATAAAATCCGCTCAACTACACATAAATACAAAATAGAAGCCCAAAACAGTACAAAAGAATTGGCTATAAGTGGTATTATTACTGTATGCAGGCAAACCTTAACCATTACGCTGTTCATCCGTACATTGGGAGGGGAAAGAAGAGAAAAAGTATAAATATATCAGTTAGAAAAAAGTGAAAAAAAAACCTAAAATTTCTCCTAGGAAATATTTCAGTTACAAATACCCAACAACAACGACAATAACGACAACGATAGCGATGGCAGTGACAGTGATGACAATGACGATAATACTAATTGAATATTACCGGTAAATTAGTGTAAGAATCGATCTACAAAAGAGGAAGGGAAACTGAAATTCTCATTCTGATAGCAACAGTAACATCAAATTTGTTGCTTACTGTCTTCATCTTGTTTCCATCTTTTATTTGAAACCTCTATACAAAAAAATTTCAAAAAAGTGAAAGCAAAAATTTTTAATAAAAAAAAAAAGTAAAGAGGTTTCTTTTTCTTTCCATCCTCTTACAATCAACAAAGAAAAAAAAAAGCTAAAAAAACCGTTGAAACACAGATTGAAAACGGAGATTTTGAATACAGTAGATATTACTGGTTGTCTATTCAATTCAATTGAAATTTTGCTAAACTGTACTCAGTAAAAAACCAAAATTTTTCTTTCATCCAACAACGACAGTAAAAAGAATAATCGACGTTTGGGTAACAACAATAAACTACCGTCTATTTTTGATGTTGCTACAAAAAAAAAAAAAATTAGCAAGAATAAACAACACAGAACAGTTTGGTTTAGTAAAACTTAGGTCTAATTGTGCTAAAAAAAAAACTTGTCATTCTGTTACAAAATTGCTCAATTATGCGTTATAAGAGTTGCCAACCAAAACAGGTAAGAAACAGAAGAGGCAATAAATAAAAGAAGAATGAGAAAAAGAAAGGAGTAAAAAGAAACTTGATAAATGATAGCTTGAAAAACTTGACAGATTGAAGGTGATGTAAAAGTTATTTTGGTGCGGAAGAGACGTGACGAATAAAAATGGTGACGACGGCAAATAACTAACGGCCAGAGAAATTGCATCTTCTACGACACTGTTTTGAGCTTAGCCATTAAAAAGTTGATCTTAAGAGAATTTTTCTTTCTTAAACAACCAATATTTCCAAAAAAAAAAAAAAAAAAACAGTACAAGAAGATTTACAAAACTGCTTAGCTAGTATCCTAACCCAATGTTTTTTTTTTTTCTTGGTCATACAAAATATCAAATGCAACAAACTAAAGCAAACCTAATTGACTCAATCGAACTCATCTCAACTTGACTGTTCTGAACGACAAAACAGCAATGACAGCACAACTTTCTGTTTAATGTTACTGTTGATTCCTTATAACTGTTATTCTATCTGAACTCCCAATTGATGTTGTTGCTGTTCATCAAATTATGTTGCTTAAATGCGGTTAGCAGAGCAAAAAAAAGTAAATAGAATTTCTTGTTCAAGAGCAGCAGCAAAATATGGCAACAAACTTAAGAATTGGCTAATTGGCTAACCTAACCCAACAACAACTATAAACGTACAAAAAGTGTAGAAAAAAAAAAA